GGAAACACAAGCAGGGGGAGTGGGAGAGGGAGAAGCAGGCTTCCCACTGAGCAGGGAGCCCGATGCGGGGCTCGATCCCAGGACCCTGAGATCATGACCCGAGCTGAAGGCAGATGCTTAACGACTGAGCCACCCAGGCACTCCCCTCCAATAAATAAAATCTTTAAAAAAAAAAAAATCCCAACTTTAGAATATATGCAAAAACAAATATGAAGCTCTCCATTTATTTGGCCAAATGTATTTATTCATTAAGGAAGAAAATAGGAATAAGAAACTAGAGACTACTGTGTTAAGATTATCATTGCAAAAGTGCTTGAGAATAGGCTTTTGTATCTGAGGCTTTTATATCTGAGGTTATACCCAGTGGTTCTCAACTGGAGAAAATTGGCAACCTCTGGAGATATTTTTGGTTGTACCATCAGTGGACAGTTGGGATGCTACTGACATCTAGCAGATAGAGGCTAGGGATGCTGCTAAACGTCCTGCATGCCCAAACAGCCCTCACAACAAAAGACATATCTGGCTCCGTATGTTTATTAGTGCCATGAGAAACCCTGGTCTAGATATATTTAAGGTATATAGGAGAAAGAAGAGATACGAATACCAGCACTGCGATTAGAAAAATTAACTGGCAAACTTTAACAGAACCCTGTGTGTATATGTTTTATAACATGTAAGATTAGAAAAGAAAAAGCCTTAAATGATGGGAGTTCACGGCAATATACATGTTGGGGTGATGGTAAACCATAAAATGGTTGATGATGATGTTCTAAGGTTGCTTTCAGCATCAGATCTGCCTCCATTGTTGCTCCATCATTCTACCAAGTTAAGTGTTCTAGGACTACAAGTCTAGTGCTAGCCTTCCCCATCTTGGCTCGTTACATAGAATCAAAGATAAAACTTGGCAGGGGGCCTCTAACTTATAAACGATTTAGCTTTGGGGACAACACAACCTTCAACAGCCCCTTCGGCAGTCCCTCTAGATAGGATTAACTATTCCAAGGAAGCCACAAGCCAGAAAGAGTTTGCCAAGTAAAACACCCACTTACATAGTTTTTAGCAGACTGTTAAGGAGAAAATGTGATTTCCTATGGTTTAAAAGATCAAGAGTATTCATCTTTTGTAGCTCTATGGCACCTAAACAGGTTTGGAAAGGATCAACTTGAGATAGTTGGTTTCAGTGTGTAACACACCAAAGAAATAACTGCGTTTCTCTGTTGTGTTTAATTATTCATGGTCTATAGAATGCTAGGCTTGGAAGTGACTTTTGAAATTCTGTAAATGGAGATGCAGAGGGGCCCTGTGGCTTGCACTGGGTCACCCGTTAGTTAAAGTTAGCGGTACAGGTAGAGAATCCAGGCTTCCTGATGCTTTGCCCATTTCTTTCCGGCTGTTTATACCCTCAGGTCTGACCCTTGTAATATGTTCTTAATTTGTACTCTGCCATGGGATGGATTCATACTAAGTGCCTCCAACTGTAATGTTTCATTTTAGGAACTACTTTTATCAGCTTGTATGTCCATACAAGTATACTGACTGGTGTCTTGAGTTAAATTCTTCCAGAAATGGCTAGTTCGAGGGAGTTCGCGGTGTTATCACAGTCAAGTTTTGAAAGCCCTGGTCCCTAATCTTAAAGCACAGAGGATCTGCAGCTCTGGCTTTCCGAGCTCCTGCGGTCCCGCGTGTCGGTTTTAGGGATCCTGTAGGGCCCACCTCGAGATGTTCCAAAATTCAAGAGTTGTCCGTCCTACACCAGCAAAATCGGGACGCCCAAAGCACATTCGGGAGTGGCGCCACATAGGCGCCCGAGGCCGGAACCAGGTTGGGGCAGCTAGAGGGCCCGCCCGGAAGTTTTCAGGGGGCCGCCCCGGAAGTGCCGGGACTTCCGGTCCGTGTGTGGCGGCGTGGCCGGCGTTGCTCGGCGGCACCTGCAGGTTGCCTCCCTCCCGCCGGGATCGAGTACCCTGGGGCCAGGCCCGCGGTGTTTGGGGCCGCGGGGGCGACGCCCAGGTGCGGCTGGCCGGAGGGGTTTTTCTCGCGGTTCGGAGCTGCTCCCTCTCGGGGTGGTAAGCCTGGGCTTTGGTACGGCCTCCCGAGCTTTATTGAGTCCCGACAACACCGTGCCTTCCTGGTAGGCGCGCAGCTCGCCTTCCCAAACGAAAGGGGGACACGGCGGACGACTCGAAATGAGTATAGGAGAGGCTTCCCCTCCACTTCTTGTGCCCAGGACGACTCCCTCTGAACGCAGCGTACACCTCTGTTACAGCTTGGCGGTAGTTAATGGCCCGCCCCTCAAGCAGCCACTTCTCCATCCACTCCCGCGCAGAACGGCCTCCCAGCGAGCGCGCTGCTGTTCTCCCGGCCCGGAGTGCCCCGGGACGATGTCGGGGCAGAGTCTGCGGCACAGGCCCCACGGGCTACCCCAGCAGGCGATGTGACAGCCTTCTTAGCAAATTAGCCCCCTGTTTGCGTTCTTTCCTCCCATCCCCTCGGTAGTTAGTGTAACACTATGGCAGTCTTTGCCTTTTCTGTGAGTAAAATAATGTTTCTTTTACAGAAGAAGGGTAACGGAAAAAGAGGCCCTTAAGAGGAATCTTACCAGATTGCAGACTCGAAAACTGTGTGGCAGACGTAGAGGGGTTGTTTTTGCTGGTTTCAAGAATTCTGTTACCAGAAAACTCTTGTCTCTCAGCTGGCTCCAGCAGCTCGGTTGACAGTGGCTGAGGAGGGTCAGGCAGGTCTGGGAGAGGGACCAGCATGGGGGCGGGGCGTCGCCGAGGAAGTGACTGAGTTGGATGAACCCAGACAGCAGCAGAGGAAGGGAGAGATATTTATTAAGTCCTCGTAAAACTTTTAGTCTCTTACATATGTGTCTTTTTTTCCTTCTTCTATTTTTTGGGGCATGTACGTCTAAACCTGTGATTGTGGCCAAATCACTTAATCTCTGTGTGCCTCCATTTCCTCGAATGTAAACGAGGATGATAAAAAGCACCTGCCTAGAATTGTTATCAATATTACATGAACAGTATCTGATACATAAGTAGTATCTAAATATTTGTTGTCATTATTTCTTTTTCTCCATACCTCCCTGGGATGGGCCTGCTCTCTTGATTCATTTGTTTATACAGTGATACATTCATGATTTCATGTGTTTAATTTTTTTTCCAGGTCCCAGCTCTTGCACACATTTAAGAAGTAATCTATCAAGAAATACCAGCCCTGGGAGCAAAGGGAGAATCACTGTCTCTCCAGCTCCTACCCAGGAATACACCATTGAAATATCAACTATAGGGACCCTTTACCCCACAGGAGGGTAGTAAGTGTTAAACTTTGACATTTTGTGGTCTTCTGAAGGCTCTGGAAGTAAGGGACCTGGGGAGACTTTTTTTTTTTTTTTAACTTACTTAACAAGATCAGAGTAAGGGTGTTGTTATGAACTCAGCAGAATCTGGTTCAAAGGGAGGGTGGAGCAAGAGGGCACCCAGCACACTGCTGCCGTTTCCACAGTATGTTATTGTCCAAGAGTTCCATGTTTACTACCTGTTGTCTGAGACATAAGGTGTATATATGTGCTCCATTTTTTACTTATCTTTGACTGTTTGTGGTGGTTTTGTTTTTTTTTTACCTTGCAGGAATTTTGATTCTCTGTATGGACCCCAAATGTATCAGTCTTTTCATTCATTGCCTCTGGATTTGGGTTCATAATTAGAAAGGCTTTCTTACAGTGAGTTTTAAAAGACTTCTCCCACATTTTCCTCTGGTACTTTTTATAGTTTACATTTGTAACACAACTTCAATTTATTTGGAATATTTACCTGAGTATAGACCAAGGAAGGAATCCAGTTTAACATTTTTCCAGATGATGACCTAGTTCTCACCATACATTTATTGAAGAGTCTACTCATCTTTTTCTTACTGATTTAGTACCTTTATTCTATGCTCTATTTCTCCCTCTGATTGCATCTATTTCTGGACTTTCTATTCTGTACCATTTGTGTGTCTCACTCACCAGTAGGACACTGTCCCACTGAGACTTTATAATCTGTTAAAGATCATTTAGAACAAGTGCTCCTTCATTACCCTCCTTTTTCAGTTTTCCCAGAGAGTCTTGCTTGTTTATTTATCTGTGTGAATGTTAAAATCTACTTCTAAAAAATTTTATATTTTTATTGGAATAGTGTTAAATTTACAAATTAAGAAGTAATTTCTGAGTGCTAAGTGGAAGGATTTGGGAGTGCGATAGATCTAGGTTCAAATTTCCTCTCTGCTGTTTGATTAGTTGTCCAACCTCGAAAAATCTGCTTTTCAGTTTTCATATATATGAGAGGAGGATTGTAACGTCATCCTTGCGGGAATAAAGGAGATAAGAGGTATAAAATGCCTTGTTTGAAGTAAACAGAACCCTATCAGGTGACCGGCTCAGGAACCACTGAGAGGGAAACCTCCGGGGCCCTAGAGCGGCCCGTCAGGTGCCCGGCGCGGGTGTCTGCAGAAGTCGACGTCTCTGTTCGCGTCCCGACTTCCGTTCTCCCGGCCTAGAAGGTCCAGGCGGGGCGTCGTCTCGTCCTTGCTGTTGGGTTTTGGGTGCGCTCTGAGGCAGCCAGGTTGACTCAGCCGCGTGCCCTTTGCCCCCTCCCCCTGCTCCTCTTCTCCAGGTGCCGAGCCCTCGGCTCTGGGAAGGGGTGGTGGGGCCGCGTGTCCCGGGCGAGGTCCCCACGCCCCCGGCAGCCGCTCCTCTTAGTGCTGTTGACCCTGCTTGCCCTTCTCACAGGGCTGAATTTAGGGTGCGGGGGGGGGGGTGTCCTCAGGGGCCTCTCCAGTGTGTGACAACCTTCGTAGCTGAGGGACACTGCCAGTTCTTTCGAGGGGTTCCTGAAAACTCTTTTTGCCTCAAAGAAAAAAGTTAGCTAAAACTCCTTTCTTCCGCGTTTTTGGTGCATTTTCCCTCGCCCCTCCCAGCCTCTTTCTTCTGTTGAAAAGATTAGAGCAAATGCCTCTCCTCCTTCTTGATAGCTTTTCTTCGAAGTTAAAAATGTTAACCCAAAGCTATCTGGTAACAGAAGGGTATTTTACACATATCTTTAGCGTTAAGGTCATTTATTCAGAGAAAAAAAAAATATATATCCTTTGTAGTTGCCTGAAGTGTCAGCAGTTTGGAGCTGTGAGGGGAAGAGAAGGCACATGGAGGCGGGGACGGGAGCAGATAATTCCAGTGTGAGCAGGCTGCAGGCCCAGAGGGGTTTGGGTGGGACTAGGGAATTCTCCAAGTTTTGCTAATAATAGCACAGCAGCCTAGCCACATGCTTCCATGGTAACCATGTCTTCCGGATTCTAGGCAAGAGTCCGTGTGTCTGTGAGCCGGACACCAGTGAGCCTTTTTCAGGGTTGCCGGGAAGCTGCTGTTCAGAGGAACGTGATAGGACAGCGTCACTGAGAAACGGTTCAGCTCCTGCGCCACGGAGGGTAGTGTCCATGTGCCAACAAACCTGTGCCACACTGGTGGGGAAACCTCCATACCCCACCCGACAACAGGAGGAAGGCAGCCAGACACTTTACAAAATACGCGTTTGTATAAAGAAACATTCAGAGGCACAACAAACTAATAAAAATGCTTACCTCTGCGGGTGGTAAACAGAGGAGGATCATGGTGGAAATAAGACTTTCTATTTGTCTTTTTAGAGAATTTTGACTTTTCAATTGTATATTATCTATTCAAAAACAGACTCATTTTTTAATTTTTATTTTTTTAACTTTTATTTAAATTCCAGCTAATTAACATACAGTGTTATAATAGTTTCAGGTGTATAATAGAGTGATTCCACAATTCGATACTCACGACAAATGCACTCTTTAATCCCCATCACCTGTTTAACCCATCCCCCACCCCCCTCCTCTCTGGTAACCATCATTGTGTTCTTTGTAATTAAGAGTCTGTTTCTCGATTTGTCTCTTTCTCTTTTTTTCCCTTTGTTTTATTTCTTAACTTCCACATATGAGTGAAATCCTATGGTATTTGTCTTTCTGTGACTTATTTCGCTTAGCATAGTACACTCTAGCTCCATCCGTGTTTTTGCAAATGGCAAGATTTTGTTCTTTTTCTGGCTGAGTAATATTCCATTGTGTATATATGCACACACCATTTCTTCTTTACCCATTCATCAGTCAATGGATATTTGGGCTCCATAGTTTGGCTATTGTAGATAATGCTGCTATGAACATCAGGGTGCATGCATCTCTTTGACTCAGTGTTTTTATATTCTCCGGGTAAATACGTAGTAGTGCAATTGCTGGATCATAGGGTAGCTCTGTTTTTAACTTTTTGAGGAACTACCATACTGTTTTCCAGAATGGCTACACCAGCTTGCATTCACACCAAAAGTGTAGGAGGGTTCCCCTTTTTCCATATCCTCATTAGCATTTCTTGTTTCCTGACTTGTTAATTTTAGCCATTCTGACTGGTGTGAGGTGGTATTTCACTGTGATTTTGATTTGAGTTTCCCTGATGATGAGTGATGTTGAGCTTTTTTTTTTTTTTTTTTAAGATTTATCTGTTTATTTTAGAGTGACAGCACAAGCAGGAGGGGCAGAGGGAGGTGGAGAGAGAATTGCAAGCAGACTCCACGCTGAGTGAGGAGAGAGCAGGCACAGGCAAGGGGAGCTGCAGGCAGAGGGAGAAGCAGGCTCCCCACGGAGCAGAGCCTGATCCGGGGCTCAATCTCATGACACTGAGATCAGGACCTGAATCAAAACCAAGAGTCAGACGCTTAACTGTGCCACCCAGGAGCCCCTTGAGCATCTTTTCATGTGTCTGTTGGCCACATATGTATCTTTTTTTTTTTTTAAGTTTTAATTTTTTAAGATTTTATAAAGAGAGCAGGAGCTGGTGGGGAGGCAAAGAGGGAGGGAGAAGCAGGCTCCCCACTGAGTAGGGAGCCTGATGTGGGGCTTGATCCCAAGACCCTGAAAACATGACCTGAGCCAAAGGCAGATGCTTAACCGACTGAGCCACCCAGGCATCCAGTATAGACATTGTAACAATGTTTGTTCTTCTAATCCATGAACATGGAATATCTTTCCATTTCTTGTGGTGCATAGACAAATTTTTTTAAAGGTTTTATTTGACACAGAGAGAGTGGGGAGAGAGCAGGCACAGGCAAGGGGAGCTGCAGGCAGAGGGAGAAGCAGGCTCCCCACGGAGCAGAGCCTGATGTGGGGCTCGATCCCAGGACCCTGGGATCATGACCTGAGCCGAAGGCAGATGCTTAACCGACTGAGCCACCCAGGTGCCCCATAGACAAATTTTTTAAAGTTTATTTTTTTTTAATTTTTTTAAAGATTTTATTTATTCGTCAGAGAGAGTGTATAAGCAGGGGCAGTGGCAGGCAGAGGGAGAAGCAGGCTCCCCGCTGAGCAAGGAACCCCATGTGGGACTCCATCCCAGGATCCTGGGATCATGGCCTCAGCTGAAGGCAGACGCCCAACCAACTGAGCCACCCAGACGTCCCTGAAGTTTATTTTTATTTTATTTTTTAAAAGTTTTATTTATTTAAGAGAGAGAGCACAAGCAGGGGGGAGAGGGAGAAGCAGGCTCCCCCCTCAGCCAGGAGTCCGACATGGGCCCAAGCCGAAGGCAGACGCTAACCCACTTAGCCACCCAGATGCCCCTTAAGTTTATTTATTTATTTTAAGTAATCTCTACACCCAACATGACCCCAAGATCAAGAGTCACATGCTCTTGTGACTGAGCCAGCCAGGCTCCTGGCATAGACAGATTTTTATTTTTATTTCTTTTTATTTTTTTTTAAGATTTTATTTATTTATTTGACAGAGAGAGACACAGCGAGAGAGGGAACACAAACAGGGGGAGTGGGCGAGGGAGAAGCAGGCTTCCCGGGGAGCAGGGAGCCCGATGCGGGGCTCGATCCCAGGACCCTGAGATCATGACCTGAGCTGAAGGCAGACGCTCAACGACTGAGCCACCCAGGCGCCCCTAGACAGATTTTTAAATAAAATTTTTAGAATAATTTCTGGGTACTCTGGACATTTTAGAGTTATAGAAAGATTTTGAAGATAGTACAGAGAGTTCCTATATACCCCACACCCAGTTTCCCATATTATTAATACCTTACATTAGTTTAGTACACTTATAAATATTGAATTACTGTTGATTATTATTAAAATCCATACTTTATTCACATTTTCCTCATTTTTACCTAATGTCCTTTTTCTGTTCCAGGGTCCCATGTAGGATACCATATTACTTTTAATTGTCACATCTCCTTAGGCTCCTCTTGGGTGTGATGGTTTCTCAGACTTCACTTGTCTTTGATGACCTTGACAGTTTTGAGGAGTCCGGTTTTTTTGTAGAACGCCACTCATTTGGGATTTGACCGATGTTTTTCTCATTATTATACTGCTGTTAAAGGTTTTGGGGAGGAAGACCTCAGAGATGAAGTGCCATTCTCATCATATCAAGGCTACATACTGTCCACTTACTACTGCTGAGACATAAAACAATTTGTAAAACGAAAGAGGCAGAGAGGAGATAATTTATGTAATTTGAGTTTGCGGCAGAAGTTTTATCAAGTTTGGAGACAGAATTGGGTTTGTTGCCAGGGGTAAGAGAGAGGTGACAATCCACCAAGCTTCCACACATTGGTCTGAACTGTAAAGATGGAATGGGCTGAAGGAGCCCCGTTCTTTGGAGAGGTGAGGGGTCTGATGTGTCACAGTTCCACGGGAGACAGAGCATCCCTGCTGGCCAGGTGCTGTCCCAGCCCCAGCAGCTACAGCAGTGCTGTAGCAGGTGGAGCTGCTTTTATCCCTAGGTTTCTCTTACAGCCCGAATAGCGGGGACTTCTGTGAGTGGTGAAAACACAGCTGTCAGTCATGTTACTGTCACTTTTCCAAACTTATTATCAGTTGAATTTCTGCTGCTTTTGCATTCTCTATCCTTCATCTGCTGTACTTTCTACAAATCTCTTCAATTCCTGTCTTGTGTCCCAATTTAGTTAAATATGATAAAAAGTCTGTCTAAGTAGGAACTATGTATTATTTTTATATTCACTTATATTCCAGATTCTGTGCTTTACATACCTTTATGAAGGGTAGATTTTAAATAGACGTTTGAGTCAGATGTTCATTCTATTAGTTTTGTGATATGTTCCGGCGTACAGACTAAATAAAACATTTGATCTGGCTGTCATACAAGTGGTGTGTCCTGGGTTTATCAAACATGTTTGAGAGTAATAGTTAAGTCTGTATCCTGTCCTATTGCTTTAGCAGCAGGGAATAAATTACATTTGAAAGTCTGTTTGTTATTATTTCAGGAATCAAGGCCAGAGGTATGAATAAGGTGGCGATTCTGAAGGGAAGATTTTTGTAAGGATGGACCCACACCAGCAGATTGCCAGCATATATAATAGGGATACATTACAGATTCCCAAGTATGAAAAAACCTCTCAGTATATGAACCAGGTACAAAGGCATGAGGACAGGCCCACAGAAGAAAGACGGTATACATGTAGTGAATGTGGAAAGAAGTTTGCTCAGAGCTCAGGCCTTGTTCGACATCGGAGAATCCACACTGGAGAGAAACCCTATGAGTGTCATCACTGCGGAAAAGCCTTCAGTGTGCGCTCAACCCTCACTGTGCATGAAAGAATCCACACTGGCGAGAAGCCCTATACTTGTAATGAATGTAGGAAAGGCTTCAGTGTGAGGGCACACCTGATCATCCATCAGAGAATCCACAATGGAGAGAAACCCTATGAGTGTAATGAATGTGGCAAAGCCTTTAGTGTGAGCTCAGACCTTATCAAACATCAGAGAATACACTCTGGTGAAAAGCCCTATGAGTGTGACGAGTGTGGGAAAGCCTTCAGCGTGAGCTCAGCCCTCATCAAACATCAGAGAATCCACACAGGAGAGAAGCCGTATGAGTGTAAGGAGTGTGGGAAGGCCTTCTATGTGAACTCCGCCCTTATTAATCATCAGAGGATTCACTCTGGAGAAAAGCCCTATGAGTGTGGAGAATGCAGGAAAGCATTCAGCCAAATCTCCACCCTTATCCATCACCAGAGAATCCACACTGGAGAGAAACCGTACGAGTGTGATGAGTGTGGGAAAGCTTTCCGTGGGAGTTCTAATCTTACTAAACACCAGAAAATACATGGCAAAGGAAAGTGTCCGCAGTGATTTATGTGGTGAAGATATTCCAGAGGCCTTTTTTGTATCAGAAGTTAACACCAAAAGAAGGGTATGGTAAAAGTTAGTGTGTGTGTTTTTTTTTAAGTTAGTGTTTTAATTGATACTTGGTCCCTTAGAATATTGAAGAAGTGAGAAGTCAGTGAAAATGACTCCAGAATGGTGACTAGTTGAAATTCTAAAATCACATCTACTGAGAATGCCACTTTCCAACTCATAAGGTAAAGCCATTTAAATATATACCGTAATGTAGTTTGTTTTGGTTTAGGAAGAGCAAACGTCAGTAATTCAAACATTGTTTTTATTTTTCTCATGTACAAGCCTTTTGTTGTTGCTGCCAGTATTATGGGTGAAACTTAGGATTCAGCTGTTTTGAAATCGGAAGTAGTGTTGATTGGTGGGACAGGAACCACATATTCTCATTGTTTCTGGAAATACTAACCAATTGGTTTTCCTTTCTTTGCCTTGGATGTACCTCTGTTCTCTCAGGAGTGATTAGATAGATGGGTTAGTAACTTCCTTGGCAGAGGGTAGACTGCCTCTTTTTAGGTAGGAATCCAGTAGATAATTCTTCAGGGTCATTCTTGCTTTGCCAACAAAGTCCCAGGCCTTTTGACTTACTGATCCAATAAACCCCCTACACCTGACGGAGCTTCCTGAACTAAAACAAAACAAAAACAAAAAGCCAGGGGCGCCTGGGTGGCTCAGTTGGTTAAGCGACTGCCTTCGGCTCAGGTCATGATCCTGGAGTCCCTGGATCGAGTCCCGCATCGGGCTC